GAAAAGCTCGATGCTGAATTTCCATACATGATTCAAGTGCTTTTTACTTTTTTTTCTATTCAATATAAGTACAGAGAAAACAATTTCCTTTAGCCTCTCCTATTATCAATGCTTGGCCCCAGCTAGTTTTTGAATCCTTAGCAAGAAAACATTTTTTTCCTCCTTGTAAATGTATTTGCTTAGGAATTTCCAAGATGAAACTTGCTTCTCTGGGCCTGAGGCTGTAATGGGCTTTAATGGTTTTTAATTACTTAACTATCTGTTGTGACATAATTAAAATGTCTTCCAACATTTCACATTTCACCCCCAAGAAATAAATAACTTCTAGGTTGTAAAATATGACTTGCAGCTTCATTTTCTGAAACAATGAAGGAAAGGTTTCTTCCAGGCTCAGTCACATCCAGTTTTCCTGTCAATATAAAGTACTTCTCAGCTGTGTCCCTAAATAGCCTTTGCTCCTCCCTTCCCTGCTTTTCACTCCTGTTTCACATGTGTGTTTAAAGAGCTTCTGCCAGGATTAAAATATATCTTTACCTATTTTACTAAAAAACCCCGAGAGCCTTGCAAAAATAACTGTAAAAAGCCATTACATCTTGCTACAGGATTAGGGGGGGGTTTGTCCCACGCTGGATTCTTTTCATCTTGGGAAAATGTGTACAATGAAAATAGATTAGCTGCAATTTAATCAACAAATTTGAGGTGTTCTGGGTAATGGACTTACAACAGGTTGGGAAGAGAGCTGAAAAACCAGAGCAGTGCTGCAGCATAGCATTCAAGGTTTAGAATAAGCTAATATAATTAAGATTAATCAGATACTGAGCTTATAATTACTTCTCAGACATTTTCTAGCAGAAGATAATCTAGTAGCTTTGAACTTTTCCCAAATTCAGCCTGAAATTGTTTGTTGCCTTGATTTCTATATCTCTATTTAGATACTCATTTTAAGTGATAGTTAACAGGAATCAGTGTTTTCCAAAGCGGATTGTCAGGATACAAGTTCGCCTGGATAAAACATGTTTTTTAGGAGGTTTTGTTAAATTCTATCAGCTCCTGTATGTGGACAGAGCTTTGCAATTTAGCAAGAAAAAGATGGAGAAAGCAGCCATGTGACCTCTAGGAGTGTTTGGCAAAACCTCCAGGTCTCTGGAAAAAAAAAACAACGAAACAACAAAACACTCGAGTTTTCTTGGTACTTCTTTGAAGTTGAGGGGAAGACTCTCAAAATTCAGCTTTTACTAAGAGTGCACTTCAGGTGTTGATCCATCTGCTGTTCTAGGAATGCCTTGTCTTTGTAAACATCTGAGTGTGCTTCAAGTGCAAGTGGAAGCTGGGGGGCAAAATGATCTCAGATTGCTCCTCTGAGCGACTGTGGGTGTAGCTGCAGGAACTGAGAGGGGGACACGTTGCCTCGGAGCTCCCTGTGCCCAGGAGAGTCAAGGAGGACGGGGCATAGCCCTAATGCAACTGAGAAAGAAAGATCTTCAGCAGTTAAAGCAGAAAGAGCTGGAAAAAGAAGAGCTGGAAAAAGAAGAGTCGGCCGTGTGGGAAACGCTATAAAAATGCAAAGCTCTCTGAAGAATTATGTTGTAAAATAAATGATTCATTTTACAGATGGTTTGGCTTTTTGTGGGTTGTTTGGTTTTGTTTTTTTTTTATTTGTCCTTAACTTTTCTGTGGCTGTGGCTCTGCTGTTCTGAGACCTCTAATACTTTGGCAGAAACCTGGTAGGATCTGCCATGAGAAATAAACCCATTACAGGTTTGGATATAATTTACTATTTCCATGTATGTGTAGATTAACTTTGATTCAAGGGATGACATGATGAATCACATTTGCTTTTTTATTCATTTTTTATTCTTCTTCCTTTTTTATTTTTATTTTTTTATTCCTTTGGAAAATTGGAATTCTCTTGAGATCAGCCATGCTTTCCCTCACGAAATGTCTCCACTTCCTTCACTTAAAATGGATACAACTCAATCATTGCATTGATGTTTGGGGTGTTTGAGATAGAAATATTAACTATGTGATTCTGCTGTCATGAAACTCCCATGGGAAAATTAGGACCTTTGCATAAAGTGAAAGGTTTGTCTGGTCTCATGTGAACATGACTGTAGATGGATGTCCCAAGGAAACTTGAATAGGTATACAAAATTTATAAAGATATATGATATGCACGGCATAATAATTACTCATTTACTGAGTGAGGCAGAAATCCTGCCTGAGAGGGAGAGGGGAAAAAAATAAATAATTGTAATAATAATATATATAATGGGAAATGCAACATTGCCTAGCTGTTGAGTGCTTACATTTCTGATGCTGATGTACTTCCAGTGGGTGTTGTTACCTTGGTGTTATTAAAAATATAGGCATGTGTCCCAATGTCCCTCAAGAATGACAGTGGGGCATTAAGACGCGGTTTATAATCTCAGATTCTGTTAACCTGAACTGGACATAATAACCAGAGTTGTTAGATGTGATATTATTATGTATGTTGTTTATTAACATAGATTTATGTAATATTCAGGTGAGGGTGCCCACACCATGGTCTACAGATCCTGTCTGGTGAGACAATCTGTACAACCTGTTCTGTTCTAATATTAATTAAGGTTGGAAAAAACCTCCAGGATCATCAAGTCCAACCTTTGTGTCAAGTTACATGTGAAGGGATGATTCCATAGCCCTTCCTGAAGCAGCCTGGGCACCTGTAGAGTGAAGGGAGTTGCTGCCTTTTGCTCAATTATCAGTATTTTTTTAACCAAGTGACAAAAAGAAGCTGGGGTATCCAACCACTCTTCCTCAGGATCTGTAGGAAAGGTGGTGTGATCAGGCAGAGCTCAGGAACAGCTTCTAATGCTCCACCAGCATGTACAAATTTATGGCTGGAGACTAAAGGAACTCAAAATACTGAACATTTTCCTTGCTGAAATATAAAATAAGAAAAAAGAACTAGGAATAAACAGGAGAATCCTGCCCCAGATTTTAAGACTGTGAAATACTAAATCTACTAAGAGATGTTGTAAACAGCAGGAATCATTATCCTGACTTACCAGCCAGGACAAGCTCATAAAATGTGGACCAAATACCAGAATAGAGGCTAGGCTGCATTTTTCCTACCTCTGATCAGTCTTAGTTTGTTTATGGTTGAGTTTTATATTTGCTTTAGTTGGTTAAAACCAAGAAAATTAGGAAGGAGGTGAGAATATATAAATGCAAAATTAGAGTGAATAGGACTTTGTAAGGGTAGAAGGAGGAAAACAGGGGAATCTCTCTGCAAAGGGAATGATGGAAAAGCCCTCTGAAGTGATAATTGTGCAGCATTTGAAGCTGCTTTTCAGGATTATCTGAGACTGCTACTTGAAGCTAAATGACCCATCGGCGTCCTCTGCTGACCAAACACAGGCTTTGACATTTTAGAGTTGGACAAGGACACCGAAGTACCTCGAGACAGTTTGCAGTTGGGAGCAGAGGTTTCCTGGTTTGACTTGGAATTAATCAAAGTTAAAATAAGAGGGGATGGTTTAGTAGGTCTGTTGTCTCATGTGCTGAGCTTTCAGAGTGCACTGCAGTTACCCTTCTAGAAATTAAAGCTCCAAGTGTGGAGCAACCCTGAGGAAACAACACTTTGTGGGGGGCAAAAAAAATATTAAAGAGAACCCGAATCATAGAATGGTTTGGGTTGGAAATGACCTTAAAGATCATCCAGTTCCAAGCCTCCTTTCATGGGCAGGGAAACCTTCCAGCAGACCAGGTTGCTCCAAGCCCATCCAATGTGGCCTTGAACACTTCCAGGGATGGGGCAACCACAGCTTCTCTGGGCAACCTGTGCCAGGGCCTCACAATAATTTCTGTGAGCCCTTGTCCACCTTTATTCTCCCCAAAGATTCACAGTAAACTGATGGAAAAGTGTGAACAAATCTGTACCCCAAAGTAAGGTTTTGGGGAATCCCCTTGCACATCTCTTTCCTTTCATGCCTGACAAAAAGATCCTTCTTAACACATGCACATGGGATGATGTATTTAAAGTGCCTTTTTTTTTTTGCTTTTTCCCAAACCCAAAGAAAACATATCTGTGTGAGTAACTGAAAAGCTGATGGAGAGCCAAGATGACTCACTGATTATCTGCCAGGGAGGCAGGACAACACAGTGTCTTAATGTGAAAAAAACCCAATAGTCTGGAAATACACACTTTAATAAAAGAATTCGTTTGATTGGGGGTTGAAAAATAAATAAATAAATCTTTTCATATCAAGATGACATTACCAAGTCTGGTGGCTGCAGGACTGGTTGATCTGGTCTCAAGGAAAATGTCTGAGTTAACTGTTTCATTGAAGATACTTTTTTGTGTGTGTATTGGATAAGAAGATAACATACACTGTGGGATCATGGAAACAACCTCCTTCTAATCCATCTAAAAAGGAATTGAATTATTGCAAAAGATTTTAAATAGGAATAAATAACATTATGTCCATGGAGGTCACTGGGTAGGTTGATGGGTTGAAGTAGAAACGGGCATCAAAGTTAAAACTCTGTAGAATCTCTTTTTCTGTATTTGAAATGGAATGAAGTCAGGGTGGTTAATACTGGAAGTATATTTGCCTGCCCTGCAAACAACCCATGTTATTGCTTGTCTCAATTTCATTGCACAGCAGAGTGGAGAGGGACCTCTTTATCTCACAGGAGACAGTTTTCTCCTGGCAGCCAGAAAGCAGATCTGACACCCCCCAACCAAAACCAAACCAAGCAGCCTTACCCAAGTCCAGCTCTCCAAGCAAAACCTGGATATTTAGTGTGGCACAATGATTTAAGCGGGAAGAAAGTAGCGTAGAGAAGGTGTTGTACTCAAGGAGGATTTTCACTGGAAGTCAAAAAAAACAGAGAATTTCTCCATGTTGCACTGACTGCTTTCAAATAGCTATTTTCTCAACAAAAAATAGCAACATTTTCTCTCCATCTTCCCATTAAAGATCCATGTATTTATTTCTCTGTCTTTCTCCTCTCAGCTACGAGCCAGGAAGATGAAGTGCTGCCTCCTCTCCATCGCTTTGGCTGTTCTGGTGCTCATTGTCATCATCATCGCGGTCTCTGTCAAGCGCTGAGCTGGTTGTGGTTTCCACAGGTAAAAACCTCTAACTAAGTCTTTTATCACACTCTGTGAGATGGCTGAGAGACAGTTTAGGGAGCTGATTATGGTAAGAAAAAATATCTTCACCTGCAGGTTCAGGTCCGGCCTACTAAAATATTTCTCTGTCTCAGAAATAGCCTTAGTGGGTCCTGAAATGTGAGCCGAGGTGATATTCAAACAAAACATCATATTACCCTTTTCTCTGCTGTTTGTACTGGGCTTGCTTTTACATGGATCTCATAGCAATTCTGACTGATAGATCCTGACTCCATATGAATTAGAGATACAGAAACAGTGTTAAAGACTCCAGACTGAAGCAGAGTCAGGGACAATCCAACAGCCCAGAGATGTTGCAAAGCACACTTACCTTCTGAGATGTTCCAAAGAGACTCTCTTGAGAGGCAGAAAAACAAACAATTGGAGATTTCAGTAGGGGATGAAAAATAAAAAGGGATTTTTGGAGATCTTTGCCCTGGATCTACGCCTAAAGGAGTGTTGGTCTCTAGTAGGAGGACTGGGCTGTAACCTCAGCAATATAGTGAGATATCAAAACAACTTCATTCCACTGGTGAAGTATAATCTGTGACATATTGTCTCTGTAAAGACTGTTCTTTAAATGTAAAGTATAAGACAAAAAGAAAGTTTTTATTTTCCTTTCTTTTGCCTCATTACCCCTGGAAAATGACTCAAATTATTTCTGATAATCTCCTTCTGATACAAAGCATCTCTAGCTGTCTCCTTCTTTAGAAGGTTTCCCAACCATTATTCAAGGGGAGATTATGAGATTTACAGATTTTCTGCCACCCAGAGGGGGTCTGTGTGGCTGATACCATGGGAAAGGTTCCAACTGGTAAAACCTGAACCCAAAAATATCAGTGAGACTTTTCCTGCAGAGAAAAAGTAGGAACCCTGAGGCAGAAAGCAATGGAGGGTGGGGACAATTCTTAGTTTAGAGACCCCTCGTGTCCCTCAGAGACTTGAATGAAGCATGTGTGACATCACTCCTGTCCTTAGTAGATCCTGTCTTATACTGAGGCTCACTGGGACCTTTTGCAAAAATTTAAGTGGAGATTTGTTAGCCTGAGCTATCCTCTGGAACCACCTTAGGGAAAGCACAAAGGATTGATAGATTTTTTTTAATAATTTGCTTTTATGAGAGTTCAGTGCTGCTTGGCAGTGCTCTCCTTCCACCCAAGGATGAAGGAATTGCCTCCTTTCTACTAGAAACTAGAAGGGGGTGGTTCGAAACAATCACAGAAAGATGATTCTCCACACTTTTTAACCTTTGGAACTACTTGTGGCATGATGTTGTGGATGCCAAAATTTGGGAATTATGCATGACCAAAAAAAAAGAAATTGTGGAAGGATATCTACCACCTCACTGGGTTTGAATGAGGATGATCAAAAGCTCTACATTATTGCAAGGAGAAATAGCTATAAGGATTTTCCTTGGTGTTTGGCCAGCCCTGAAGTGAGGATATCAGGAAAATGGTCCTTTAGATTGACTGAATATCGATGTTCTTACAGCACATCTATCTATCTATCTAATTTCTATGTATATTTTTATCCCTCTTTTACATGAGACACTGCTTATGGGTGCAAACAGTGATCTGTCCTGATAATTTAAATCTAGAGCAACTACAATAATTTTAATTGCATTACTCTGGTTTTACCCTGCATTAGTTTGGAAATGTGTTCCATCATGATAATCTGTAATATAATGCAATTTCTTTTAACACAGTTAAATATTCCTATCTACTAGAAATTACAAATCTTATCATCAGTTGGCTACATCTAGACACATTTTAATCTAAATCCCTGAAGTGGAGAAAGTCAGAGAACCAAAATATTCTTACAATTTCCATTTAGTTTTCTCCATTGGAAAACTAAAGTTAATCTTCTGTTCAGAGATCCATGTCTTGGGGGAAGTGAACCTAAAGATACTAATGAGAGCCCTAGGAAAAATATAATCCTCTACTTTTCATCATCAGTTTTGAAACTAATTACTAAGCTTCTAAAACAAGAGTTATCCTCCAGCAGTAAAAATGTAGGCAGAACCTGCATTAAGTTATACTGGAACAAGTATGATTTCTGATCTTTAGAAATGGTTCCTAACCCAAATGGTGTGCAACAGATTTCATATTTATAGTTTGAAGATTTCCAGATCAGAATGTTTTCAGGATTTCCATGTCCACAATGATGCATGCAATTCTACTCTGAATTTTAATGCAAGTGGGTTTTAAAATATAAGTGGATTTCAAAATATCAGTGGATTTAAAGATTCAGCTACCTCAAGAAATTGGTTGATATAAAACTGTCTTACATACTTTAGGGAGAGGAAGAACAGTTGGATTTTAGTGTGTAACAGCTCTACATGACTCTTCAGAGAAAACAAGAGGGAAGAAAGCAAGTTAGGAAACTAGTTACTAAATACTGTGGTTGGCATAGGACAAATCACTGAATAAAATCCCAAATTCAGTGATGACTGGCAAGAACTTCCATTTAACATGTCATAAAGAGTTTACTCCATGCTGGATAATTCAGGAGCCAAAAGAAACAGCATCAGCTACTCCATTCCAGTGGTTTAAGTGCCATTTCCAGGATATTAAAGGTAGGGGCTTCTTTAGCTTTCCTGAGTGGCAATGAGAAATATGAAGGTCACTATTCAGTGAGTCAAAGAAATGATGCCATTAATATCTATGATTATTAATATTGTTTTGATTATTAACATATAAAGTGTTCTTCCTTTTTTTTTTATTTTTATTTGGTTGATGTTTCTACTTTTGCAATAATGATACTGAATCAACGGTTCGTCTTAACACCACAACTCAGACATGACTTGGACAGACAAGCCCATTCCTTCCAGGGCAAAGATCACTTTGTATCTTGAGAAGTAAAAAGCAGTTTTTCCCATGAGTTTTGCAGACAGTTGTGCCACCCCTGGCTCTGGATCCGTGTGTGCAGAGGGCCCAGCTGTTCAGGAGAGCTCTGAGCCCCGACTCTTTGCCTGTCCAGGCCTCTGCCATAAGTGTGTCACTGCTCCCTTGGGGCAGTTTTGTCTGGCAGGGAGAGGGAAGAGCATGTACAGAGAATGAAGAGAAACTCCTGAGGACTTCTGTCTGTGTGTTTGTTTGCTGACACCTTAGGAAAATAGCCCAGGAACTCTTGGGTCACGTTGTGCACATCCTGTGTCAGCTCTGCAGCTGCTCCTTTTGCTGCCAACATCAGTGCCCATGTAAAAGGATGGGTTTGCAGCAGCAGTCTGGGAGAAGCCTTTTTGTTAAAAACATCTTTGTACAGTGTCAATATTTCTTCAATCTAAACAGACCTTCTGTGCCCTTCTTTTGACTCGTTTGGATGAGTGCACACTTACCCAAAGTGACAATCAAGACTGTTGGAATCCTAAGCCTGAAGCATTATTTATAGGAAAATAGAGGTGACAAACTTTGAGAAAGATGGTAAATGGGTTTGATGTTTAGAAAATGTACTTTCCAGTGACAACTTAATCATCTCGATCCTGTTAGGCAAAGAGAGAGAGAGGGAATGATGACTTGACTGCTCCCTTTTCTTGGAAGAAGTCATTGCAACAGAGGGTGCCTTCCTCTTTACCAAGACACCTTTCTATCAGACAAAGGTTGCTGGACTGAGCACACAGACTTTGCTATAGAGATTCCTTAAATCCCATGGGCTTACTGTGCTTTCCAGCCTTTCAATCTCCAATGAATAAAGAGGCAAGAGCCCCAGAGGAATAAAGCAGTGTTTCCCTTCTTGGTGGATGATGCAATGGTTGATAGTGTTGCTCAGCTATTGAAAACAGAGCAACAGTCAGGAGTACAAGTGATCATTAGTGACTGGATGTGGCACTTAGTGCCAGGCTTTAGTTGACATGATGGTGTTCAGTCAAAGATTGGACTTGATGATCTTGGAGATCTTTTCCAGCCTTTATGATTCTATGATTCAGCAAATTCTCCCAACCTTCAGTGACTTAGAGCTCAAAGTCTTCCTGATATAGGAGATAGTTATTAAATCTTTAACAACCATTGAGTAATTCCTTTCCTGGTAATTTGACCATTTGCATTTTGAAACATTATAAACTTTTAAAATAGGAAATACCTTGAGCAAAGAGTTCCACTCTGATTACACTCACCATGTGATCTTGAATGTACAGATAAAAATTCATAGAATCATAGAACAATTTGGGTTGGAGGGGATCTTAAAGATCATCTTGTTCCAGCCCCCTGCTGTGGGCAGGGACACTTTCCACCACATCAGGTTGCTCAGGCCCCATCCAACTTGGCATTAAACAATTTCAGGGATGGGGCATCCACAACTTCTCTGGCAACCTGTTCCAGTGCCTCACCATCCTCACAGTAAAGATTATTTTTCTAATATCTAACCTAACATCTTGGACAGCATCTCCTGAGCAAGGCTATAGTCTTTATGAAAAAGTAATAATCCAACTTTAAGTGTGTGTTTCCTGAACATGCAACTGCCTTGTTTTGAATTTAAATTGAATTATGTATCATAGAAAAATAGAAGATATTGGGTTAGTTTGGATTATTTTGCTTTCCTTCACAGTTACAGCTTTCCTTGCATAATTCATTTATGGATTTCTTATGTGATTAAGTGTTTTATGTAACCTGATCAGTGGGGATGAAGCTCAGACAGTTTATTTTAAACAGTCCATTTCTGGTGTTTGAGTTTTTTCCCTTTCTTTCAGACCTTATGTTTTTTGACTTGTGGTTGGTTAGGTTTTTTAATACCTCATGCACTGCAGTATCCCTGTGTTCTGTACCTGATCCCACCAACAAATGCAATCACACACCCTGTGTGTGTCAGGGTCAGGAGGGCTGTGGGTGGCAGAGAAGGAAAGATTGACAAGTGGCTTTGTGATACTTGGCATTTACAGCTCTGGTGTTCCTTCCAAGCAGGAGACAAGTCTGGGCACCTTCTCCTGACACACACAACAGAAATTGTGACTTTTGCCCAGTGCA